ATAGGCCTTATGTGTGTATACAAACAAAAAAAAAAAAGTTGCATACGTATTTTTTCACATGAATCGATAAATCCCAAAAAGAAAGGGGGGGGGGGTTCTGTGGTTCTTCCACGGGAAAATTTTGATTCCTAGGTGGCGGGAAATGAGCTTTCCCGACTTCTTAGGTGTCTTGTAATGACTTTTAATTTATTCAAAATTCAAGGTGCCCCCCACCCTCTTGAAAGTGATTCAATTAATCAATGAACTCCAAAGAAAAGGTCCGTGTTCCCCGGGAAAATTTCGATTTCTAGATGGCGGGAAATGAGCTTTCCTGACTTCTGAAATGTATTTTAATGTATTTTAGGTTCTTCAAAATTCAAGGTTTTCCCCTCTTGAAAACAGTCAGGTAAATTTATCTCATTTTTTTTATGTGTGTATTCATACATAAACAAATGAGTAGTTGCATGCGTATTCTTTTTGCCATAAATCGATAAATCCCAAAAAGAAAGGGTGTTCCAGGGGTTCTCCCCCTTGAAAATTTTGATTGCTAGATGGCGGGAAATGAGCTTTCCCGACATTTGAAGTGTGTTTTAATGACTTTTATGTTGTTCAAAATTCTAATTTTTCTAATGTAACAAATAAAATAAAAAAAAAAAAAAAAAAAAAAAATTAGCTCTTTATGTTCTTCAAAATTCTAATTTTCTAATAGCAAAAAAAAAAAAAAATTAGCTCACGGGTCCTGAAAAGGTAGGTCTAGAATTCTTTTTCTTTTCCCCCTTTTTTTTTTCTTGCCCAAGGGAGGGATCAGGACCCATGACCCACTCCCCCATATCCGCTAATGTGAATTGCGAGAAAATGTAATCTTTCGTGTACTCATATATATTCCGTTATATATGGTTCCGCCGGCCATGTGATGGGGTGGCGGCGCGAAGGTGAAGTGGTGAGGGGCCTTGATGATCAGTTGAGGGGCGCTTATTCGCAAAATAAGGTGATTTTAGGTTATTTTGAACTACCTGACCATGATTTTTTATTTTTGTAATTTTTTTTTTTTTTTTTAGGGGGGGGGGGGGAGGCCTTTTAAGATTATCAGTATCTCCAGTATATTATCATTTATATATTCAAATTATTAATTACCTTCTCAATGTTTAGGGATACCTCATAACCTTACATTATTTTTCATTCCAGTTGGACTAATTTCGATTTTGGAAATTTGTTTCATGAACTTCAATCTTAAAGATAACAAAATACACTTGAACTTGATATCACAGGGATCAATACTGTACTGTGCTCGATTGAAAATTTTTGATATGTTGACTTTTTCTCCATAAATTTTGGCTTTTCACTTCATCAATTTTTTTTTACTTAATTTAGAATGCTATAAGCACGGAGGAAACAGAATTATACCAAGTTGTAAATGTTGATAATTTAATCTTTGCTCCATGAACTTTGACATTTATTCTTTAACGATTTAAAATTATTGAGAATCGATAAAAATTATCCCTATAAAATGTGGGCTCAAATTGAATAAATTTTATGAGCTTGACACATGAATTTATTTTTTCAATTTAAAAACAAATGATGTAGATTGCCTTATGGATCATTCCAGTTAAATTTTGATGCAGTTGAAGCATTTCCAATATATTATCATTGCTTAGTTAACTTTGACCTTTCATCGCCATGGCAATTATAATAAAGTAATGTCGATCATTCCAGTGAATTTCGGATGCAGTTGAAGCATTTTTATAATGTTATCATTGCTTAGTAAACTTTGACCCTTCATCGCCAATATAAATATTTAAACTTTCATAGGCAACATTCCTGTAAAATTTGTGCAATTGGATTATTTTTATGACTTGACCTTGACTTATGAACATTGACCTTTCATATTTTAATTTTTTTAACATGATTCAGAATACCGTTAGGATAATTTCAGTAAAATTTGTGTGTAGTTGAAACATTCTTATCTGGGCATTTGTTTTATGAAAGAACACACACACACACACACACACACACACACACATATATATATATATATATATATATATGTATATATATATATATATATGTATGTATGTAGCGGGTGACCACTACTTGAGTTAAGCGAATCCGTCACTTAATTCGTCGTGGGGGCTTGGGTTCCAGTTACGCGCAGGCTCAGTCGGTAGATGTTTACATATATGGCCACAAATAAAACAAGAGAAAACTTTTCTAGTTATATGCTTAATAATGATTTATTGGGCAATGGGGATTACAAATAGGGACTTATAAATTGGACCGGACCTAACCTAACCTAACAAACTACTCACGTGAGACCGTCGGCAATGCAGCGTACGCTTGAAGAAAGTAAAATAATAATAAATGCAAGTCCAACAAAAATAGAGTTTAGAATATATACGGCAAACAGGGAGTTCCAATGATATACGGTAACAAAGTTCAGTTCCGGAAATGTCCAAAATCGCTTCCATTTGCAATCGTCTGGTTGCACTTGGCACCGGTATTTGTTACAGCAAATCAAACTGTTCTCCTGATCCAAGTCAAGAAAATAGTGAAACCAAAAGAGTAGTAATTCTTCTCCCTTTTTAATTCAGGAAGGTTTCCAGTCAACAGCTTTCTGAAGAAACTTCACATTTATCCTAAGTCTATCCGACTATTATAGGACTATACTTCTGTGTGCTGGAGTTCCGATCGGGATCTCTCAGTGTTCCTTCTTCTCTGCTGTGTCTTTTTCCTTCTTTTCTGTTCTTTGTTTCCTTGAATATTTTGGGTATATGTAGGGGATCTGGCTCCACCCTACTCATTCAATTATCATTGGTCCTTTAGCCTAGGCAACCCCCAAAGTCACTGTCCATTGCCACTACGTTAGCGCGTTAGTGGCAATTGTAGTAAAGTATGTCGTACACGTAAGAATTAATAGAAAACTTACTTAGGAACCATTATTTCCTTCGAAATTTTTTTGGGGAAATAATGGCTCCTTCGGCTTCCATTTCCTATAGTGTACTCAACCTCACTATAATTGCTTAATAGGCCTATGCCTTAAGCTTAAGAGTATTTAGTAATTAGGTGATTATTTACTGATTATTATTAATTAGTGTTATTGTTTATGAGCTGATTATATTTGATTCATTGTTATTGATTATTTCGATTAACGACTTCATGATTAATGAAAACAACAAAAACCAAATTGGAACATGTACAGCCCCTGTAGTCTCGTTAGCCGCGGCTACAGTTTGTCTCTTTGTAATTTATGTAACCCTCAATACGAACCCCGATTTAACGAATTCCCGATTTTACGAACGTAAAATCAAGGTGATGACGTCATAAAATCTGAAGCGAGTAAAAAAACAATTCGCTCGAATTGTAACTGCACAAAACACAACATACCATACTATACAGTACTTTGTAATTCTCTAAGGGGTCTTTTTAAATTCAGTGTTTATATGGTTTCGCATTGTGCATGCGACAAATTTTACTTGTCTATTAATTATCGTTTTCAGCTTTAACAACATAGTACTAGATAAGTATTTATGGAAGTTGTGTTGGAGTAAAATTCATGTGTGGGGCCTAGAGTGGGATCAGAATGGTTAGAAACTGCTTGCTGCCGGGTCTAGGCTCCCTCAGAATTAGCTGCGTAGACATGTGGGCCTATAGTCAAGCCTAGTTTATGCTAGTGTAAGTAGTACCAGTGTAAATATATATAAGAATTTTGGTCAACACCGATTTTACGAATACCCGCAATTGCGAACGGCTCTGAGCTCGTGCCGTACGTATTTGAGGGGTTTTACTACTGTTATTCATGGTGATGCTATAAAAGCGAAACGTAGAATTAAATGGCCGTGTAAATTTTTTGAATGACGTTCATATTGTGTTTGATACGAGTTTAGCATGTTCCTATATAATTATTTGAGCACTGTGCTATTATCTATGATTTGTGTTCCCAGTACTAACAGCAACTTGATTTGAATATTATTTCCTATGATTTAGCAGCTGCTAAATATAGATACTAGTCTGCTGTGTATATAGCTTAAAAGTTAGCTCAATTATGTGTGAGCCCTCATGTTGTATGAAAGGAAGAGAAACTAGTCAGATCCGTAATTATATCGGACGGGCTCTGTGGTCTAAAGGGTATGACGTTCGCCACGATAGCGAGAGGTTGTGGGTTCGATTCCCGCCAGAGACCTCTAAAACTATGTTTGATACGATTTTATAATATCATGTTCTTATATATTTGAACACTGTATTTGAGTTATGCATTATTTGTTTTCCCAGTGCTAGCCATTAATTTGATTATACACACACACACACACATGTATATACATATATATATACATATATGTATATATATGTATATACATGTATATATGTGTATATATATATATATATATATATATATATATATACGGGTGACTGTGTGTGTGTGTATGCATGCATGAATGAGCATGCTAGCATGTTTGTCTTCATTCCAATATTTTATTTGATATTTTTAGAGCATAATTAGAAACGCACTTAACATCAGATATAGACAATATCGGACATCAGAAAATATTTGGATTTAAAATAGCCAGCCATCTGGTGACATCATGTTGAGGAAGCTTTGCACTAGACTGTTCTTCATATTTTGCATCCCTCTTGTAAGAACGACTTTTTGCATTACTTATTAATTTAAACATGAATGACGATTTTGATACTGACGACGATCATAGCAGTAGCATTATGTTAAAAACTATTTAACATCTCATCTTTTCTTATTCAGTATTAAGAAATCTTTTTACTACTAAAATTATTCTGTTGGACATTTGTTTACATTTTTTTAGATCCTATACCTTTTACTAACGGTGGTATTTATACATGAATCAGCCAGACAATGGATTTCAATCCCGAAGGTACAAGTATGAGATAAATTGCGTTTTTTATTAGATAAATGAATGTCTATTTTAAATACTTTAAATCAATGCTTTAAATTACTCTTATTTCTGTATGTAAATTTGTTGTTGATTAATCTGATACGAACAAACGGGAAAGTCTTCCGAATGTTGGCTAAAGCAATACTAAACCCAACCATGAGAGATCTAACCTACAAACATTTGATATTACCTTTAAGATGTAAACATGCATGAAGAGATCGAAAGTCATTGGTTCTTGATCGCCACACAACCAATAACTTGACACAATAGCACAATGTTCCTTTACCAAAGATTTGCAAGTGACTCAATTTTGAAGGGTCGGGGTCAAATTTCCAGGTCACAATGATTGAAAAACTACCTAAGTTAAGTGTAACTGTCTGCAGTATGGACGTGTGTAGACTTGCCAGTTAAGTGTAAACAAACGTATGACCATTAATTTCTAAGTGATATATGGAAAACAGTTTGGTGTAGTGGTTAGAAGAGTGTTTTCCACACTAGCAGCCCCGGGTTATATAGGGAAAATTAATAGACTGGGTCAATTTTCCAAACATATGAATTCTGAAGGCAAATTGTGTTAATCTATGGCATACAAGTTTTTTGCGGGTTTTGAGGTGTGCTGAATACAAATCTACTGTATGCCAAGCTAAATAATTACTGAAAAGCCTCCAAATCCAATATGGCTGGCAAAACGGCCGCCAAATTTTGATATTTGCCATAACTTCCCAATATTCCACATAGAACAAGAGTTTTTGAGTCTATTCTATGATTTTTCGTGTCAGGCATACAGTGGCACCATTAAAAGTCAAATTTCAGCCATTAACGGTTGCAGAAGTCCAAGGTGGCTGCCAAAATGGCCACCACATTTTAGTTTTGACCATAACTCCCTAATATTCCATATAGAACAGTGGCTTTTTTAGTCTATGATTTGAGATGATAGGGGCATACAGTGGCACCATCAGAAGTCAATTTCAGCCATTAGCGATTGCAGAACTCCAAGATGGCCACCAAAATGGCTGCCAAATTGTAATATTTACCATAACTAAAATAATATTCCTTATAAAACAGTGGTGTTTTTTATTCTGTGATTTGAGATGTTAGAGGCATATAGTAGCACCATCAACAGTCAATTTCAGCCATTAGCGGTTGCAGAGATCGAAGATGGCCGCCAAATTTTAATACTGACCGTTGACATCCTTAACATTCCTTTTTTTAGTTAGCGATTTAAAATGTTATTGTTAAGAACATACAGTTGCACCACCAACACTTTTTTCTTCTCCAACTGCTCTTCAGTTCGTCTTTGTGGGGCTGGACACTCATTGAGTTATAGGTTCTACAGTACTAGTATTGCTGCATTTTCCAACAGTTACAGTTACAGTAAATTTGGGTTGTGGAAAATGGTACTTGACTCCCATTGTCAATTAGGGTACTGTAGTCCACCAAACTAGTTTCTCCTATAAGTCATCTGATTTCTCTCTTTTCCACCTGCTCTTCAGTTTTTCTTTGTAAAAGATGGATGTAATGTTTCTCTTCATTTCGTCTCATTGTCTGGGTGATGAACTGTTCATGACGGCGAGGCCATCACCTCGGTAGAGACCGACATTCGTTTTGCCGAGTATTGGGGTGAGGGAGTAGAGGACGAAGGATCCGACAAGTTCGCATATTGTAACTTCCCATTGTAACGTCAAACATGTCATCCGAGTTTTTCTTGGTCCATGTTGAATCGTTACCAAACAATATTGATTTTCCATCGATAAAAGAATACAAGAAAAACCTCATCGACAAAACAGAATGTGTCTTGAAACGCATGAGATGGAAAGCTTTTCACTTTCTAAACAAAACCGCTGAGCCTGAAGAAAGAAATGAAACCTATGGTTTCAAGACTTCAAAATACTCACCTCAGCTTGACGAAAAGAAGCTCTTCGAAGATGATGTCTTAAAATGGACGAAGACGTGGAATTCCGCCACACGAAATGCACTTTCCTAAACAAACTCAAGGAAGACTCAATCACCATCAACAAAGCTGACAAGCTCATCATCCCCGCCGACAAAACTACAAACTTCTACAAATTAACTAAACAAGAGTACGACAAACTCATGTATGAAAACATCACCTCGTCATACGAGAAAGCAAAAGAAGGAAGCACCCACGAAATCAACAACGTAGCCAAAGCAATTGCTACAAAACTTAAAATCGAGGACCGAATGGAAACCATTGCTGAAAAAGAGGCTTTTATAACACTCAAAGATCATAAAATAAAACTTCCTAAATAAACCAAGCTGCAGACTCATAAACCCATCAAAATCAGAAACTGGACTCATAAGCAAGACCATCCTCGACCGGATAAACCGTGACCTGCTCACAAAAACCCAAATGAACCAATGGAAAAACACCGCTGCTGTCACTAAATGGTTCAAACACATCCCATACAAATCAAGCAGCACATTCATCTCCTTTGAAATCGTGGAATTCTACCCATCCATCACAAAAAATTGTTAACAGATGCGATCCAGTACGCACGAAAGTACACCAGCATCTCCGAACACGAAGCAAATATCATCATGCACTCCCGAAAAATCAATATTGTTTGGTAACGATTCAACATGGACCAAGAAAAACTCGGATGACATGTTTGACGTTACAATGGGAAGTTACAATATGCGAACTTGTCGGATCCTTCGTCCTCTACTCCCTCACCCCAATACTCGGCAAAACCAACGTCGGTCTCTACCGAGATGATGGCCTCGCCGTCATGAACAGTTCATCACGAAGACAATGCGATAAAATGAGGAAAAATATTATATCTATCTTCCACGCATTCGACCTCCGCATCACCATACAGGCGAACATCCACACCACCAACTTCCTCGATGTCACACTCAGCCTAAAAAATGAGTCCTTCAAGCCTTACAGCAAACCAAACAACCAACTACTCTACGTCAACAGCAAATCCAACCATACCCCATCTATCCTGAAACAAATTCCCGCATCTATTAACAGACGCATATCCAATATATCTGATTCCAGTGAATCATTCTATCAGGCCGCTCCTGACTACGAACAAGCTCTACAAAACAGCGGATTCCAGCACAAAATGGAATACCAGCCTCCACAACCAAAATCTTCAAAGAAAAATAGAAGCAGACAAATAATCTGGTACAACCCACCATTCAGCAAAGGAGTGAAAACCAACATCGGAAAATCATTCCTTAACCTTGTCAAAAAGCATTTCCCGAGTGGCAACATTTTACATAAGCTCTTTAACAAGAACAATGTCAAAGTCAGCTATAGCTGCTCAAGAAAAATGGGCAGTATAATTAAAGCCCACAACAAACAGCTTCTAGTTGCTAAGCAACAACAGCCAAAATCTCTCTGCAATTGCAGGAAAATAGATGAATGTCCACTCTCTGGAAATTGCCTCACCTCATCCATCATCTACAAAGCCACTGTCTACTCAAATGATGACAAAAAATGCTACATCGGGCTCACTGACACACCGTTCAAAACCCGATACACAAACGACAAATACACTTTTAACACCCCCAAACACAGAAACAGCACCGTTGTATGGAAATTAAAAGATAGCAACACACCCTACAACATTAAATAGTCTATCATCGACAGAGCATCGGCTTACTCCCCAAAAACAAAACGCTGCAACCTGTGCATAACCGGGAAACTCCACATAATATATTTAGACAAACGGTCAACACTAAACAAAAGAACCGAGCTATTGTCTAAATGCAGGCACAGCAACAAATACCTACTTAAAAATAATTAACTCATTTGCATTTTCACCTGTCTTAGCATTCATATACTCGCACAATCCTTGTATTCTCTCACTCCTGAAGATTGCATTACCATGAAACAGTCTGTAGAGTGATAATACCCAGTTCTACAAGTTCTACATTTTCAATATTTTCAAT